ACCCAAGTGACAATTTCTCAAAGGTTAGGTTAGGCCTTCTGAGGCGACGCAGGTTGTATTAGGGGTGGGGCGAGCGCTGTGGCTAGGATGAGCTAAGGGGCCAAATGCTGCAGCAAGGGCAGACTTTGGTAGTTACATATTTGGGAAGGCCATTTGGTAAAATACCATTGGGAAGTTGCCGATTGGGAAAATGCCTTTAAGAAAGTACCTAACATCTTTCTATTTACCCCTAGGTTGGTGTTAGAGCATTTACTAGATTTGGTCCTATTCTTGGGAAACAAACAAGGTAAAAAATAAAAGCTTGGGATAAGATTTAATCAAGTAGTTGAAGTATTAAAATATTAACATACTTGACATATTGATGATATTATAAGTGTGTAGAATTTGAAAATAAAAAAGGTCAAATTTATGCAAAATTACTCGAACAACTTTGTGACCAAATTACTATGATGAGAAAAAAACAATTTATTTAAAATTTAAATCTTGCTCTTTTCCATATCTTTTTGGAAATAGCAGTTATAAGATGAATAAACTTACAAGACTTTTACTTTAATTTGACCTGAATTCGCGAGCAGTTCTTAAAAAAATTTTATTTTATTTTAAATTTTAAAAAATTTCAGAGAAGAGAATCTTGATTTTGACGAGGATAGAAGAAAAGTATTCATTCTTCACACAGAAAATGGGGACAGGTACTTATATATTTATTTGAATTTCAATTTAAAAAAATGAACAAGCTTATCAAAATATAACGTTCAAAGAAACCAACAGACCTTAAATATAACCATTTTTGACTAAAATTCACCTTTTTGACAACAAATGTTCATCAATAAAAATACAAAATTGTTCGTGTCTTCGAAAAATCTTCCGTTTTAATAGTGGAAAGAAGCGTGTACACTGTACATCGTTGATTTTTATCTTTAATTGCAATATCTCTTAATTCTGTAGATGTGGAGCATCGCAAGTGAATAATTGGAAAGTAAAAAAATACAGGGTGTCCCAAAGAAACTATCTTTTAGACATCTTATAGCTAGAATTTCAATAGGTATAAAGAGCCACAAAACCTTTATGCCTGGTATTTTAATGAAGTTTGGGTAAAAATTTCACCAAGCAAGACAGCTACAGATAAGATAATTTAATTATCATTAGGATCAATTTTCTTGATCATGTTTGCGTGATTACATAAACCCTTATTATAATCTATGAAAATAAAATGTGAATGCAATTATTTTTTCTTTTACTTATCACAGTGACACTCAGTATTAATTTTCAACCACGCCAAAATTACAAATTTCGAACTGGTCTTACTTCTTTAAATTTTGTGCTACATACCTCTAATGGATATTTCGGAAATGTTCAATAGATGATAGATAGAAAATGACCAAAAAGGTAAACCATAATGAGAGCTACAGTGTCTTAAGCATAGTTTTTTTTGGGCACCCTGTATATTTTTGAAAAATGGTTTTACTTTTGACCAAAAAGAAGTTAAAAGGATGTAAAAATTATTTAATTTTTATTTCTTATATTCTTTATATTTTTCAAAATGCTTATGTTTTTTGTAAAAATGATGGTTATATTTTTGGAAAAAGAAAATGATTATATTTTCTTTATTTTTATATTTGTTTGGTTATATTTTCCTCGCTCACGAAAAAAAATCTTAAGATGTATTTTTTTGATGTTATATTTCTCCTTTTGATACTTTCTTTCTTTGCTTTTTTTTGCTTTCTGAATTTTGTAAAATTCACTTTTTCTTGACATTTTTTATTATACATATACTGATTTGTATTTGTAAATTTCTTTTTTAGAAGGATCCATTACAAAATAAAATATTTTCAGAAATTGTGTAGTTCTTTATAACTTTTCAGGCGAATGATATTGGCAGGAGAGGGTAGTAAAAGTAACTGGATGAATAAGGTATTAACGGGACTGTAGGCATAACTTCAAGTTAATTTCCAAAATTTTGAGTAATCTCTGATTCACAACGATACCATTAAAATCTTTTTCTGATAAATGAATGAGCTATCCATTTTTCACTTTTGAAATTTAATTACTTTAAATGTTTGTTTCTCTATAAAAGTGACTTGCGGATTTCTGCTTAAAGAAACAATGGGGTTAATTGTCAGAATGAATCTCTTTTCAAGCATGAAAAACAACCATATCTTCTTCTTTTATTAGATTTTAAAAAATCTCTCCCTTCTTGTTCATCGATATCTTGAATATATACATATATATAT